CTCTCTCTCTCTCCCTCTCCCTCTCCCTCTCCCTCTCCCTCTCTTCATCCCGTCGTCCGCTTCCTCTGCTCCTTCGTGGAGGGCCGAGCCGCCGCCGCCGGGTGCCTCCTGCTGCGCGGGCCCCGAGGACCGGGAGCGCGCCTCCAATGTGTGCCGCTTATTCAATTCCCTTTTATCCATATTTCCCTCTCCGTCTGGCGCGCGGCGGCCGCGACACCCTCCTTTTTTGTTTTACAAATCGGGGACCTTCGACTGCGCGCTGCGCGCCCTGCCGCGGCCGCCCCCCGCTCGGTCTCGGTCCCGGCTGGTGGTCTGTTGCTTTGAATCTCTTGGTGACCTTGACCAAAATAATGGCATTCCCGGGATGCAGCCGCGCCCTTTCTTGGTCGAGCGGGCTCCGCCATGCTCTGCCGGGGCCCCGCCCCGCACCCAACCAGCGGCTCCTAATGCCCTCATTGACTCTCAGATCCGCCCAGCTTATCCTTTAAAACAACAGTTCACCTTAAGGGATTCCCCTTTTGCCTTTTTGCTTCGCGTTTTGTCCGTTTTCTCCGCTTGCGCTTTCCTTGCCCCTTTTTTGGCTTTTCACCTTGTGCCATTGCCCCCCGCCCCTTTTTTCCTTATTCAGCCGCGATCATTATCCTTTGCCACGTCTGCCTTCCAATCATACGCCACTCCTGTGTTCTTCTCCTCCAAAAGGCGGCAGCAGCAGCAGCGGCAGCGGCGGCGACATGTTTGCCGCTGCGGCGGTGTCGCGTTCGCCTCGGCTGCTGCCGCGCCTGCTTTTGTGCCTTTGAGGGGCACAGGCTCCGCAGGCTCCGCAGGCTCGGGCGCAAGCGGGCGCAAGGTCGCGGGAATAACGATGTGGCTTTGTGCCCCTCCTCTCTGATCAGAGTACGGCGCCGGACAATCACTCGTTTAATACGGGGCGCGGGAAGCAGGAGCAGCAAGATCAGGATTCACCTCCAGGGAAGCTGGATCTCCTCTCTGCCGCGGCAACCGTCAGTAGTGGAGAGAGATCGCCCGGATCCTCCTCCACTGGCCGCTGGATCAGCAATTAGTATTAAAGCGCGAAGATCACATCTGGCTGGATCAGCAGTGCTTGCCCTGGCTCATATAAAGATGATGTGTGGATCCGACGAGGGAAAGGGATCCGCACCACATGCTTCCCCTGGACCACAAAGTGCAAGGCTCGGATCCTCCACGTGCTGCTGCAGGACAACAAGGACGCTCGGCATCAGCAGCAGCGGCGGCTAGCAGACGGGCCGCAGCAGGACAGGCATTGATGGATCGCACAAACTGAACGGCCCACAGCAGCCGGATCGGCCGACGCTTGCCGCAGCCGCTGCGGCGGCTGCTGCTGCTACTCAGGCAATCCAGGGCAGCAGGGCACGTGGAGAAGAGAAGTGGGGGTGAAGGACGCCTCACTCCAGGGGTTACAAGAAGAAAGAAGAAGAAGAAGAAGAAGAAGAAGAAGAACGACAAGGACGACGACACAGGGTTACATTCTCCCGTGCCGCTCCGCTGCCTCCCCACCAACCCTTCCCCTCCCCTCCCCTCGCCCTCTTCTCCCCTCCCCCTCCCCTCCCCTCCCCCGTTCGCTTCATCGCGTCCCGCCCCATAGCAGTAATGAATTCCCTGGCCCGCGCCGCCCCCGCGGCAAATTTAGCGGCCGCTCGCGCGCCGCCGCGGCCCCCGACAACTTTTTGGCCGTGAATTATGGACGCGCCATACGACGAGGTAGTAGAGAGAGAGAAGAGGGGAGGGGAAGGGGTTAGGGGGGCGATAGGAGTACAATGAAGAGGTTAGCGCACTTGAGGACGCTAATGCACTTTGTAAAACAGGATCCGCGACTACTTGTTCAAGTTTACTCATATTTCAAGGACGGCGGAAGGGTGGGAGGTGGTATGGCTGAGCAGCGTGGCGTACGGAAGGTGCACCCCTATCTATACCCCATCCATACACACAGACACCCTCTCCCTCTCTCTCTCTCTTTCTCACACACACACTCACACACCCACACTCACTCACTCGTACGATTCCCTCTCATGTCTCTCATTCGCCCCCCCCCCCTGCTTCTCTCGTACACGGGCGCGTCGAGCGTTTAGGAAAGGCCAAAGGGCAAAAGTGAAGTGGGGGAGGGAGAAGGTCATATAGGGGTTGTGTGTGGGGCGGAAGAAGAGGGACCTGGTGTGGGGACCGATGGGTTGAGGAGGAGCAGGGGCCACACGGGGAGAGAGAGATCTTTGGGATGAGTCGCCACCGCGCGTCTGGAAGCTGCTGGAAGGCGGTGGTGGTGGTGGTGGTGGTGGCCGCAAGTGTAGCGAAAGCGATCGAAGGGACGGAGGAGGGGAAGGCTCTGCGCTGCTGCCACGGCTGCTGCCGCAGATATACCGAGTTGGAAATGGGAGGGCGCGGTTTCGGTTGCAGCCGTCGCTGCAGGGTATAGATTGCCACGTGGACGCGGGGGTACATCGTGTGTGTGTGCGCGCGCGCGCTCGCGCTCTCCAGCGGCAGCGGGCCCAGCCCAGCGCGCTCTCCAGCAGGCTCTCCTCGCGCGCCGCTCTCCACGTCCACTCGCTCATTGTTTACCGCGCTGTGCCGCGGACAGGGACAGCGTCACTGCACCGCGAGGGCCCGCCCTGCAGGGCCCCCGGTACACCGACAAAATGCGACGAAATGCGACAAAATCGAAGAAATTTGCATATTCTCGAAAAGTTTTCCTTGAATTGGGGAGGGGGTGAGGTGTGGATGACAATTATCGTCTGAAAAATTTCCTCCGACAGGCCAATTTTAAATTGTATTTTCGTTTAAATTGAGGAAACAGTTTTCCGCGTGCTGCGGGCCAGGGGCGAAGCTCTGCGTGCCGCGCGCTTGGGCTGGGGTTGGTGTTGGGGTGGAAGGGTTGGAGGGATTGACGGAGGGAGCGCGTCAAGTTCTTTTTATCAGCCGCTGGAGACCCCTCCTGCGGGAGGAGGTGAATATATTGATGGTTGCGGTCGTGGTGAAGGTCACGGCCGCGGGTGGCGTCGTTGCGGTGGTCGCGGCAGCTGTGGAGCGGCGGCGGCGGGCCGCAACCAGCGCGCCAAAGTTATGCATAGTTAATTCGGAGTGGAACTGTCTGATTTTTCTGTCTAAACACGCGCCGCCCGACACTCCCTCGGCTTACTCCCCCAACTCCCCTCTCCCTCCCCTTCCCGTTTCCCGTCTGACGCCCCGCCGATGAGGCGAACCGAGCCAGCAGGGCCTCGCCTCAAATCCCTCGGTCCGCTCCTTTCGGGGCTTAATTCGCCCCCAATTCATCTCCCCCTCCTCCCCCTCTCTATCCAGTCCCGCGCCCCCTTCCCCCGTTTCCCTTCAACCCTCAGTCCTCGGCTCCGTTTTGTCTTTTTGTCGTAATTAAAAGGCGGTGCTGAGAAGGAGAGCATGAGGCTCTTCGCGGAGTAGGAGGCGAGCTAAAAAAAAAATATTTACTCTTTATCTTTCTTTTTACCCTCTCCCTACCACGAGCGTGAGGAGGAAGGAGAAGAGACTGCGGTGGTTGGGAAGGAGGGGGGAGGGGTCTGTCAAACGCAGAGGTGAACGGCGTAAGACACACGATGGGGCGTTATTTGCGGAGCAGCCGTGCAGCGTCATTCCAGACTGCTGTGTGTGTGTGTGTGTGTGTGTGTGTGTGTGTGTGTGTGTGCAGCCGTGCAGCTGACAAATATGAGTACTTGTTCACGTCCTAGAGGGTCATGTCCTTGGGAGGAGTAGTGAATACCCCACTCGTATGTCACGACACTCCGTTGTTGTGCTCATTGTCAGCTGCTGCACCCCCACAGTGAAAACGGGGGGCACCCGTTGCGAGTGCCTCGATCGTGTTTCGGCTGTGCGTTTGAACCAACGTTATACCCCGCACTGCTAAGAATAACCCTGTATGGCCTTTATTTTTCTGGCCTGAAAAGAGGCCAAAGTTGGCAAAGTTCAAAGTTTGTGAAGAGAGTTCTTCTGGGGGGGCCCAAAATTTTTGGCGTCTTCAAGAGCCGGAAAAATTTAACATCCAGAACGAAGAAAAATATTTTCCCGTCAAACTCTGCCAAAGACTTTTTGTCAGTGCCTCTCGGGAGCGGGCCGGCACGCGCAGACGGCTGCCCCTGCCCCGGTGCCCCCGACCCAGCAGACAATAAGATGGGGGCGGCTCCTTGCTGGGCGCTGCAAATGGCGGAGGTAAATCGTACTAAATGAGCAGGCGACGGAATGAGCTCGAGATATGACTCTCGAGGTCGTAGGCTGCGCGCCGGACGACCCTCCTCCCGGCACTGCACAGCGCACCCAGAGCGCTCAGCAGCAGCAGGCCCAGGCGTCGTCACCGCTGCTTCAGCCTGCCAAGTCCGGGGTAGGCCACGCGCCTCGCACCCCAGCGCGCTGGTTGCCTACTCGGCAGGCGCCCCGCAGAGGAGCAGGGAAGGGGTGGAGGGATACTGCTGCTGCTGCGAGGCTGCGGCACTTAGCCTGTTGCTGGGGGGAGGGGGAGGAGGAAGGGCAGGGGGACCGACCGGCTGCTTACGTCAGTGTGGGCCGGGCATGGCCGGCTGGGCTGCAAGCGGAGCGGAGGCGGCAGCAGGCAGATCCATATCCGACGGGAATGTAGGGCAGCCCCGCACGGGAAACGACGGGTAACAGTCGTCACAATAAAGAAAGGGGGAAGGCTGTCTGAAGAGAGGGGCGCTGG